GGAAGGCGAGGCGCGCCGCTGCCCGTCCGCCGCTTACGCGACCGCTCGTACGTCTCCCCGCGCGGGGCCGCTAGGCCGACGCATCTCACTGCGCGCTTACATTCGCCAGTAGGTTGGGCTAATACGGCGATTTTTAAAATTTCGTATCTCGATAACTATTCGTCCAAGCGCAAAATAGTACAATACTTTTCTGTTTGTCTTAGTCCCCTCTACCTTCCCATGACCGGAAGTCAATATATTGCGTAGCACCCTGTAAAACTTATTTGACGAAATTTCACATTGATTTCTAGCCGTCGGTCAAATTTTCTTTTATTACTTTCATTACAATACATTATTAAAAATGACCTTCGAAATAATTATCGATTAGCAAGATAGAAACTCGTGAAATACATTTCCTGGAAGGATACTGCGACGTACCTAAGGTGCCAGGAAGATACGGGCAACTAGTCACGTGATTGAAGTTCTGCGATTGCATCTCCTCCTGGTCAGTCTCACGATGATAGAAGTAGTTGAAATTGGAGACGATTACGGGAACGGGTAGAGCAATCGTTAGGACACCGGCGATCGCGCACAACGAGCCCACAATTTTCCCCCAAACTCCCACGGGCCTGTAACAGAATGGGGAGGAACATCGCATCAAGTACCACGCCTGTGAGGCGGTGTGTTATAACGCGGCGACTTGGGATTATGATCGCAAAATTCGGCTTGGTGCTAGGTGTGGTGTTTCTATCATTGTGTGAGTCTGCCGTGTCTAGTGTGGCGCTAATTATGCGGTACTATAGTTACATGACAATCTGCGTGCGTTGGCAGAATGTTAAATGAAGGAAACGTATGCGTCAAAAAAGACTTGCATACGAATTGTATCTATTTAAGTGATTTATTTGCAATACACTTTACCTCACCGGTAAACCCATATTGAAGGAGATTATCTCTTTCAGCGATAGTTCGACGCTTACATTTTCGATTGTGCATTCTGCCAACGTCGTACGATTAATTCCATACGTCTTCGATCGTATATTAGTATAGCATGATGCGTCTAGTATAAGCGAGCAGCCTAGGCTAGACTAGTAAACTAACGTAGGGATTCATCAAAATGATCTCTTCGTAGTGTACCACAAGTTCCTTGGAAAAAAGGATATTGTGTGATTAGCCCACTGAAAATAATGCGCCAATTGCGATAACATTTTCTTCCATCAGAATTTATACCGTTGATTCTGATTGGTCAATTTATATTAGGGTTGCGTTTGATTGTACCTCGTTGCAGTAAGGCCAGAACAGTTCGATAGATCAATGATGCACACGAGATGAGGACTTGACCGAATCGAGTTGCTTTGACTTTTCAAAGAAGAATAAGGCAATCGAGTGCCCGCCTTCTCTTTTGCTGGCGTTCGCGAAATGTGCCCGAACAATTGCTCGTTGTGCACCGAAGAGGCATGAAAGATTGTGGCGTCATTATTAGCGCCGAATAAAAATAGCTCGATACTTCGAAAACATGTGAATATTTAACATTGCAAAAACCGCACTAATCAATTATACCGTCGTCAATTAACGGTTAAGTAAATTGCAAAAATTCTTATTGTTATAATATCAATTTATTCTTTGAAAACAGACGAATTTATGTTAAAAATAGCCTTAATTTTTACGTTTAACTTTGCCAAGCCGTCTCCTATTTCTAAGTTGGTATTTAACGGAAGAGACGCCAATTATATTACAAGTAGGACATAAAAATCCAAGTTCTCGCTTACCGAACAGCTCAACTATTTAAATATAAACGAAAAGTTTGTTGTGTGCTTTCTTCCATGTTTTCCCTATGTGCTCTCTGTTTTCTCACTTTAGCACTATTGAAGATACAGTTAATTTGTCAATTTGACAATTAGTTTAACAAATTGGGAATTTTTCTATTGCCGATTAAATAACGCTGTGAAATTTGCGCAATGATATTAAAAAAATGATTCGCGATTCATTTCTTCTGTGTGAGAGGGTCGATTAAATGAAATAACTTGCATGACCAGGCACCATATCACGTTCATTTTACGGCTGTTTATTAACTATCGAGGAAAATGTAGTTTTCAGACAATTTTACAAGTGTGCCAAAGTAATCCGAAATGTTTCTTTCGTCCAAATATCGTCTTTTATTTGAAAATGTAACGCAAGACTTCTTAGCGTGTAATTTCTCGCTTCTGACGTCATTAAACAAGGACAACTGCAGCAAAAACCAGGAGTCTTAAACATGTTTCAACTTTTCGTTGATATTTATTTATTGATACAGCAAGTTTATAGAGAGATGTACAAAACAACTCGCCTGCATCTATGTAGCGCTAATTGTAAGTGATTATATTGAATAAGCATTATATTAGATTCCCAAAAAAAAAGAGATTGTTCCCGCAAGATATTGTCGTACTATGGACCTTCGTGATGCATGACCAGTGATCGTATTAATGGCAATGGCATAGTCACGAGGAGAAATGGGATCGAGCAAGAAAGTAACATTTAAAATAATAACTGTGATTATTGTAATAACAATAGTTTTGGCAATCGCATGCTAGGCAATTGTCAAACAAGGACGCATGCATCGGTCCTCCTTGTAAAGAAAATTTTGCAAATTTAGGAAACTCGGAAATCCCTTATTTCAAAAGCGCACAACAAGGAAGAGTCAAAACCGAGAAAGAGATTGGATGAAATGCAAATGAATTTGAATGAAGTAAAAACAGTCTGGATAATCGAGGATCTCTCTCTAGATAATTAAGCTAAAAAATACGTGAATCCGATCGCTCTGATTGATCGGAATTCACGCAAGTCACGAGTGGTACTCTTTTTCTCGTCGTCGATTCAACAACATACAGAGACGTAGAAAGATTTATATCAATCTTTATATCATTTCGACATGTCGAGATGATGTAGTCATTTTCAATTTCGCCTGGAATGTATCTAAGCGAAGATAAGAAAAATAAGATTTAATTTTATACCCGCTCATATCATGTTCAGAGAATTGTGGTCGACTCGTCTTTGCTCGGGAGATTTTCCCTTAAATGACATACTCGCCGTTCCAAAAACTTTCATGTTGATGAATAGTATCATGCGTGAGCCATGCGGGTTGACGTCATTGTGCGATCACTTTAGTGGACAAACAGCATTCACTTCTGCGCACAGTCGATCACGCCATTGCGTCATCAAGTTACTTTTAATAAAGTGAACCAAAAAAAATACCCGCAGGTTGTTACGTATTTCGACATTTTTCTAAGAATCGTGAAGATAACATAAAAATTATCTCGGTACGTTTTTCATTTTACTATTATCTCTAATTAATTCCTTTCTTTGTTATGAAAATTAATTTAATTTTCTTCATGAATATTAATTTCGAGAGGAAGTCGATTATTTGTTAATCATTGGTGCTCAACGTTACGGTTCTACTGTCGACAACGTGCAAAGGGCAAGTGTCATAGTCTTGCAAACAATATCGGCCATTTATAGTGCGAGTTCATCAAACCGCGTTGCGGAGGTCATCGGAAGTGAAATAGCCGCGGCTGCCTGGACACCTCGCGGCCGCGCGCATTTCGCGGGCGTGCATCGATCGATACGAAGAGTGCAGCGTAGTATGGTGGCTTCGAATCTCTGCATGATTTTTTCTTTCGCGTGCTCCGGGGCGGTTCCGAAGTGTCTGAGGACACTTATTGATTTACGGGAGGCAATCGTTCGCGAGAGGCCTCCTGGGCCACGAAACGTCGGAAATTCCTCTCAAGTGAGGAATGTCAAGAGTATTTTACACTTATTGTTAGTCATAAAAAATGAAAGATAAATTGGCCGCTTTATATTTTAACAGAAATTAAAATTCTATCCACTTACGCCGGATAAAAAATTTTAACTAGGAATTAGATTAATTTTCTTTCGAACATAATTTTATTTGTCGAATAGACTGGATATGTTTAAATTTCCTACAATTTATAATACAACTCGAACGAATTCCGTTACAATTCTTCAAGCGTTAAATGAGCAGGTGTGTCCAGGATACTTTAAAACGATATAATTCTCAAGGGTCACGTTTGAGCAAATGGCAAGATGTATAATGCGCAGAAGAAACAATAAGCATCATCAAAATCTTTACGAGCGTCAAAATTGGAGTTGTTGATGCGTGATCTGAGCCACACTAATTTTACGCATTCATACGTTTGCGCGAAGTGCCGAGTAAGCTACTACATAATAGCTCTAGAAAATTCAGGGATATGTATATATAGAATGTTTCGACAGTATCACCGTCCCAATAATGCGTTTTGTAAATTAATTTTTAACGAGAAACTGAACTTTTCAACGAAAGTTTGAATTTTTTGCAACAAACCGTTAGTACAAGAAAATCGACTTTGAACACATTTAAAAAAAAAACCGATCAAAAATGTAACAAAGTGATTATAGGAGATTGCGTGAGAAAGTGTAAATAGGCAAAAGCAAAAGTATTGTGAAATGGAATATGAAATGTAATCTGTGTATTAAAATGCTATGGAAACATGTAATTATAGGTTGCATAATTGGAAACTGACGTGATAAATAGCAGTTTCGATTCGTGAGATTTAGAGTTTCCCCATCGTGATTCAGCAACAATGTAATAATATGAGTTTCATATAAAGTGCCTCGACCAAATTTTGTAATATTAAAATTTTAAAATATAGTCAACAATTTATACAATTTGAAATATGTCAAAAATTTTTAGTAAGAGGCATTATATATGAATGTAAGAATGCAATGCATAAGACAGATATCAGTTTTGTAATTAATGAGAGTGCCATAAGATAAAAAAAGAATTGGAGAAATGTACCACTTTTAGGGCCAGTTTTTCCAATCTCTTGGCAAGCTAACTAATAGTTAAATTATATGTCCATCTTTGTCTGATTTAAAGGACAAACCTAGACGTACATATGATTTAACTATTAATTAACTTACCACGAGGTTGGAACCGGCTTTTAATCATTTTAAACCAATGAAAAAATAGCTCTAATCATTATCTTGAAATTTCAAGAACACAGCTTAATACGTATAATTATCAAAGTAAATGGATTTCCGAATAAATTCAAATTTAAATTTTCTTTACATTTAAATAAATAATTAGATTCATTAAAATTTTTGTATAAAATTGCTTTCCCGTATACAACATAAAAACCTCTTATCAATCAAAATCTTGGTGGCAATCAAATGTATCCATTATTAAAAATTTGAAACAAACAGGAAGATATATGATCAACATAGAATAACCAAAGCGTGCTTCGAGCCGACCAGAAGGAAAGGCAAAGATAAAAAGGACAAAAAGTGATTGCGCCAACAATCTCGACTAATTTTACAGACTGTCTTACATATGTAATGTTACAATTATTGCGTAATACTAATAATATTCGTATTGTGTGCCAAATACGGTACACTTATTGAGACTCAAATTGATTTAAAGTCCGTACTCATCCAAACTATAAAACATATTTCAATCCAAATTTTGCCAAAAATATTTAAACAATCAATCAGTGTTGGGGCAACCTCAAAGAGATGTTTAGTGGCCGAAAGAAGTCGAGGAGCTGCGTGTGTTAGACCTCTCTCTCTCTAGCTCTCTCTCTCTCGCTCTCTCTCTCTCTCTCTCGCTCTCTCTCGCTCTCTCTCGCCTCTC